TAAATAAGACCATAATCCAAAAAAAAAAAAGATTTCTCCATTCTCTTCATCTTCACTGTCACCATCATGGTCTAAGTAGATTAGTGGAAGAGCCTTTTAATAGACTGCCCCTACCGCTCTTGTCCCTCAACAACTCATTCTCTGTCTTTTAATCAGCCCTTTTTTAAAAGTACAAATCGAATCATTTCACTCTGTCCTTAAAAGTGTACAAAATGCCTCCCCTTGGTTTTTGGAGTGTGTACTGGACTGTCTGTTGACCCCTCAGCACTGTTCTCTCCCTTCTACGCTTTTCCTTGATCTTCAGGGGCTAGCAGCCTTAAGCTACATTTCTAAGACTATCTTCCAGTAGGGTTCTGGTTTAGCGTAGGCAATTGCCCAGTAGCTCACAAGTGAAACACAAAGAGAAGAAATTATTGCTTTGGCAGTTGCAAGTAAGTATGTGGACATCAGCACTGAAATGAGGACTGGCCAGCAGCTCTCAGGATCTCATAAAAATTTAGGGTAGTCTGGCCTCACAGAGAAAAAATGTAATTCAAGAACTGGAAGTCCCCAAAGCAGCTTTGGGAACCATTATCTCAGCTGTCCTCAATGGCAGTGGCCTGATCCTCAAACATTATGGCGACTCAGCTCCTCTCTGGAATTACCAAGTCTTAAGTTTCTGACCAGGCATCTTCCTCTCCATACTCTTCACTTTGGTTGGTTTTGGCTCTTCTTGCTCATAGCTCCTTGAGGACTCTGTTTCCACGTTTTCCTATGTCATTTCAGCTTTTGCTTTCACTACCTTCTTATCCTCTTCCCATGTCTCCCTCTTCAGGTTCTTGAGAAAGAGAAACCGATTAGCCCAGAAAAGCACTCTCATCTCTGTTTGAGCCGAATTAGTGGTACCTCTCTAAAACTTCCTTTATCTGTAAAATGGGAGTAATGCCACCTAACTATCTTACAGAGCTGTTGTGAGAATCTGAATAGATACCGTATATGTAGCAGCTAGTATGACACCTAACAAACAAGGCTCACCACATGTGAATTCCTTCTTCCCGTTCCCTCAAGTCCATGCATAGTGACTTTTCCTGGATTAGTGGCATTATAGGTATTTAACAAGTATTTGCTACATATTAATAAAAGCTATGTGCGTGTTTATGTATATATCTACATATATACAGAGAGAGAGAAATATTTATTTAATATACATCAAGTTATTTGAAATTAGATATTTAGAAAAATAACACAGATGCAAAATAAAAACTATAAACACTAGTTATTTGGGGGTATTTTGTTTCTCTTCAAATACTTGCTATTTTATTATACTCTCAAGCTTAGGATGGTTTCAGCTGGCCATTCCTGGGTTCCTTACCAAGTTCTGCCCGAACAATTACATAAATCTTTCACACACTTATCTGGAAGGCTCCTCTTCCATTCCCTTCCCTCATGTTTGTTCTCCAGCCCACCAGGTACCACTCATTCTAGTGCTGATTTGGCCAAAAGCAAACATGAAATCTATACTTGCCCTGCACATCAACATTTTGTGAAGAACTCACATAGATTTGCTGGTGGGAGAAAATATAGATTTTTTTGTATCCATCTATCTACTTTTCGTTTGTGTATTTATTTATACTTATAATGTATATATTCACAGACATTCTAAAGATGAACTTTTTCAAAATCCAGAAATATCTGAAACAAAACCAAACAAAAAATACACCCAAGTGCTTGAGCTCTGTTATAGGGAAAACAGTGGTGCAGGTTAAAAACCAGACCTGGGTTTCAGTTCTGCCTCTGCTACTTATTATGGAGCAATTAGGAATCTCTAAACTTGGAAGGAAGCATGATAAGACAGAAGAGAAATGTATGTTAGCAGAATAAATGCTGTCATAAACAGAGCTGGTTTTACTGTACTTGTCTGCAGGCTTTGCAGTGGTCCAAATGACACACATGCCCAGGAAATGTGGGATATGTGTGATGTGGCCACGGCACCCCTGGGTACCCTCAAAGGAAGATGGCAGGAGAAAAGAGCCCAAAGGAACAGAGTCTATGAGCTGGAGCATCTGTGGCTGGCAGCAGGAGGTCTGGCCTAAGACTAGACAGGAGGGAAATTCAGGGCTATTCCTCCTAAGAAAAGGAGCTTGCAGGTACCAGCTCCACATCTATGGTCTAATTACGGCGTTAGAGGTAGACAGTTTCTGGGCTAAGGTAGGAGACAGTCATCTTGAATATAGATAATTACCTAGTTTGATAGAAAAAGACTTTTATCTGTTTGTTTTACCAAGTTATATGCAAAATGCCAGACTCCTGATGGAGACAGATAAAAATCTGCCACCAAAATCCTCCTTTCGGAAAGTAGGAAAAGAAAAGCATCTAATGGCATTCTTTACTAAGAATATTCTAACCACCAAGTAGATCAGTATGAGTTAAAGAAGGAATATTTATAGTTTGGGAATTTTTTTTGCTACCAGGACTGGGCTGGGGAATAACTGAGGTGAAAAAGAACTGCTTATCCTTGGAAGCCTGACCTAACTGTGAGAACCTACTGATGTGGTGACTGCATGAGGCAGACAGGAAGCTATCAGGAAGCTCTTGGTGTTTACTTGCCACCTGTGAAATAATAATTGTTTCATGTAAGGAAAGAGGACACTGACAATCTCAGGCTTGGCTTGAGAAAAGGTGGACTGTATGACAGATTGGAGGATCTTAAGGAACTATTTTTGCCATTGTCAGTCTTGTAAAATGTTGCTTGTACTGTATTTGTATTAAGTACATACTAGGTAATATCAATTCATACATAATTCGTTTAATAACCCCCTGAGCTATGTCCCATTAACCCACTTTACAGATGAAAGAAACTGTAGTATTTTATCATTCTGCCAGTTGTATTTTGGGCAATCAATAAAAACAAATTCATCATCACTTTAGCATATACGATCATGTATCGCTCTGGTTGCTCATGTGACGATCTTGCCTCCTAACAGAACAACTGGCTCCTTTAGGAAGGTGAGCACTGGCTTCAGCAGACCATAATCACGCTCTGAGGCTCCCCTGTCCACGGTCTGACTGCACTGCTTTGGGCAAATTGCTTCACCTCACTAGGACGTATTTGTAAAGCAAGGGAATTGAAGAAGAGGCCCTTTAAACTTTCTTCCCACTCTGTGCTCCATGGCTCACCAAGAGGGCAATCATTCTTGTTCAAGTTTACTCTTTTACACAGCCTTGAGCTCTTGAACTGTTAAAGAAATCTACTGTGCTTGTGTGCTTCCAAACCCTGATGCTGAAAAATCGCAGCCTTTGGTTTTATGAAGAAGTAGCCCTTGAAAATGAAATTAGATGTAAGATTGAGATCGTCAAAGACATCATCATCATCGATCATAGTCAAGTGACAGACATAGTTTTAATCCTTTAACAAGGATTTTTCTCATCTTTACGGATGACAAAATCAAGGTTGTTTACGGAATCTTTCTAAGTAAACATGTTACCTCACTAGAATATATATCTTTAGACCCTTATTAAACTTTCATTTGCTACTCTTGGAGAAAAGTATTCTAGAGTTCCCAGGATAAGTCAGAAGTTACTCATTGTAAATAATAAATGCTATCAAGAGTCCAGCATTCAAGTTAACACAACAAACAGACACATACTCTCAACATACAAGTTTGGATCAGAATTAAAGACAGCCTGCATGTACTCGTGGAAATTCATTATGTGGGAAGCTCAGCAGCTGCTCTGGTTGTTTCCATCATAACGGCGCAAGGGCTCTGGGGTCATGTCATGGGGTACGTATACTGTCATCTCCATGCTATTATCACATTTACATGCAGAGAATTCTACATTTCCCATGGAAGAATCACTTTAATGAGGTCAAGTCCTTAGGGGTAAGGGGTAAGAAGACTCACAGAGTTTCTCTCTTTCCTCAGAAGCTTTCACAGTGGCCAGGCTTGGCTATGAGTGCACACTAATGAGGAGGCTTTACCTTCTAGAAGGCCAAGTGGGGGCCCAAGGAGGGTGATGTGGGGATAGCAGGGAAGAGCTGGGAAAGCAGTGGGGTCAGAAGCCCTGGCCAGCACTGCAGAGGGGACAGGCATTGGCATCCTCTGACTGTAGTTTTGAGACCTGTAAGTGGCAGTAGTAGTTGACATATAGATTATGTGGCCAAGAAAAGTGAGGGTACCTTGTATCATGTTGAAAGACTTGCTCTCAACCTGCAGGTCCCAATACAGTAGCTACTGGCCACGGGCAGCTATTTAAATTTAAATTCATTAAAATTAAATAAAAGTTAAAATTCAGTTCCTCTGTTAACATTTCAAGTGTTCAATAGCCTCATGTGGCTAGTGGCTACGGTCTTAATAAATGCAGATACAGAACATTTCCATAGTCGCAGCAAGTTCTATTGGATGGCATTGCTTGAAAGTCTAGATTATATGAGAAATAAACACAAAAATAATTTTTTAAACACATTTTTTTTAAATGGAGGTACAGGGGATTGAACCCAGGACCTCATCCATGCTAGGCATGCACTCTACCACTGAGTTATACCCTCCCCACTAAAACCCTTGAAGTGTAATTATTACTAGGGAAGGATATCTTCCATAGTGGTTAAGAACACAGACTCTGTACCCAAACTTTCTAGACTCAAATCTTGGGTCCAAGCCTTGCTAGCACATGACCTTGGGCAAGTTACTGACCACTTGGTGCCTTATTTTTCCACATCTGTAAAATGGGGATGATAATGGTATAAGTTTTATAAGGTTGTTGTGAGGATTAAATGGGTTAATGTATGTAAAGCACTTACAACTTTTTCCAACACATAGCCAGTGCTATTTAAGTGTTAGCTCCTAACACTATTAGTTTCAACACTGAAACATACTCTATCATTTCGTATTATTAACTGGGGAATAGATGTCTGATCCTTTCTGCACCCCTCATTCCCCGTGAACCAGATCTTCTTGAGCTAGGTGAAACATTCTCTTGTCAGCACGAGCACATCTACAACCAGGGTGAGCCCTGCCCCTTACTTGTACAGCAGAATGTCGGCTGCCTGGAGCACTGGGTATGTGAGCAGGCCCACTGTTCCGCTGTGCTTCTCCGTGGCAGTCTTTGCCTATGAGGGTGAAAAGAGAGGAGGGAAACAAATCCAACATGAACCTAATGCTAATGTGAAATTAAGAAACCTTTAAAGCAAAGGGTGATCTGAAGCCACCTGTAACAACATTCTATCTCAGTTCCTTTTAGCAGCTCCAGCCATCTTCCAGCTGGCTTGTCCTTATGCTCCAGGTTTCGGTGGGAATAAGGTGAACCTACTTCCCCTGGAAACGATCCTGCACTGTCACTATTTCTTTTTCATTTTATTAAAGCAAGAGCATAAGGTTTTCTAGGCTCCGAATCAAATAAATTCCAGATTTCACAGGGGAGGTCAGAAAATACCATGAAATTAAATTTCTATAAATTAACATTAGCTAACATCAAATGTCCTACTGTTTGCCTGTGGAAACGTCCTGAAAAGTCTCACACTGTGCTATTGACAAAACTATCATATTCCTTTAAAATCGCATTAAACAAAAAACAGTAACAACAAAAATCATGTCATTAAAAAGTGAAACTAAGAGATATTGTCATCTGACCAATCCTAATGATCTGTCTTGATCTTCGGGTGTTAAAGCAGTGGGAGTAAAGAGATTTCAGTAAACAACAGACCAGAATAGCTCCTTAACAGGGAAGCTGGTGGGAACCCTAGAGGTGGTTATTGGAAATACCTGACAGCTGGTGAGCAGTGGGTGCTGACTGTGAACTACCAGTCCGCACAGGCTGAGTACGAGCCTGTGTGACTCTGACCCCCTTGCTGCAGGCAGTCTGGCTTTCTGAGTAGAGCTACTTATTAGCAGGGACTGTTATGTGCAGACTGGTAACTGCTAAGACCCAGGTATGTTGTCTCTTATGTATAAAATGATAAATGGACATTTTGGTGTATAGGTAGGTTTTATTTGTTTAGTTAATATGAATCACTTCCCTGAAATCCAAGGATTTCTGAATGAACCGAACAACTGAATTTATAAACTTGCACCCTTTTAAGGACCAAGAGCTTGTGCTCACCACTCGGGCTTCCCCAACCAAAATGCAGACACACCCTCTGGGGCTGGGGCTGAAAACAACAGCTTCTCTCTTTAACCATCTTAATGTTCCATAATTTAGTTACAAGCTTCTGGTTACTTCAGGTAGTTTCTAGCTCACAGCACTACTAATGCTATATAGGCCACTTACAGGAAATTTCAAAGTCTGAATATACAGTTCCTTCAGAATCTCTCCTCATTACAGTGTCCATGATAAAGGCCAGTTTGCAATGATCACTGGGTAATTATAATTAAAGGTTAGTTTGGGAATGAGTGAATCCAATTTTTAAAAAGTGCTAATGCATTGGATTTACAGTCTTTTAATATTAGAATACTGGATCTTGAAGCTACAAAGGAAGGGGAGAGATTTAGGGAGCACTAACATTTATTGGGTGCCTATTATGTGCCCCAGATGCCTCCCATCTGTGTGATCTCACCGATCCTCCAAATAACCCTGATCCCAGCAGCCCTGACCCCACCCTTCCACCCCACTGTTCTGCCCCTTACTGTCCCAATCGAAACCCAGCTAGGGGTTCTTAGATCTTCCCATAGAACTGGAACCTTTCCCTCCTAAAACTTTTCACACTTTGATGGCTTGTTTAATTGTCAGTTCCCATACAGACTACAAGCCTCATGAAAGGGGCTGCGTCCATCCTTCTTGGTGACTGCTGTACCTCCAGCACCCGGTGTGGTGAAACTAGCAGAAGGCATCACCAGTATTTGTTAATGAAGGAAGAACCATAGAAGGCAGTATAACATACTCTAGGATAAGGCTGGCTTTGAAATCCATGTTTTCCCCACAAATAGGAAATCACAGACCCTTGGGAAGGATTCCCCAGAATATCAGTGTATTCACTAGTCACATGTTATCAGGAGGCCCTCAGAAATTATTTTAAAGGGCAGCATTTCCCATTAAATCAGTTCTTATAAAAGGATTTCAGCATTCAACCTAGCATTATAATATTATGATAAAATAGGAAAGTCTTGCCCAAACTATGGTAGGTTACATTACAAAATTTTGTTTCCAACTCCTGGCAGGTAATGATTCTGCCCCATCACCAGTACCTCTTATTTGGGCACTGCCACTTTAAAGCTGTTTCTTCCTGCAGCACACTTGAAGGCCTCTGATCCAGCTTTTGAGGAAATCAGTGGCCCTGAATATACGCTGGAAAGAAGCTTAATGCTGAAATTAGTGTTGATAAAGCTGAAGGCTACTTACCCTCAAGTTATCCAGTTGCAAAAATATATGGAAGTAAAGTACTATGAATTATCCAATTTATATTTCTCAGTTGACCTTAGAAAAAGAACAGGCTTAATTTTTCTGTGGGTTTGAACTGTTGCCTGGACTCAACTTGGTTAATTGTTAAACAAAACATGTTGCCTTGTCTCCCCACAATGGAAACATTCCTGCCTTACTGCCAGTTACTTCTGGTGGAGGCAACTCCAGAGTCCAGTAATCCAGAAATGGTGATTGTTCATTAGAATGCGGTACATTCAAAGGCATTACCAAGTCTACTCAAAGGTCACTCTAAGTCAACCATACACAGATAAAATCAAATAATTAAAAAGCTGGATATTTTTATCCAGTTTTTTCAGTTGGAAGGGATCTTGGAAAACCCTTTTACTTTCGGTTTCATACCCTGAGGCTGCAAGGTTAAAGATGCTGGTCTAGCCACTGGTGAGTAGCGGGTCAGGGAGGACAGTAAACTCAGGATTTCCAGAGCCCAATGCAAACACAAACAGAGGGGAAAAAACAGCTGCAATGGAGACTGAACTTCTTTCTGTTTATTAATCAGATCACTGGCATTTACCTTCCACTGGTGTAAATGTTGTAATCGAGGTAGTCTGACCATGCAGGTAAGGATCCAACTTAACTGTGTGTGTTCAGACACCTGAAGAAATAATACAGAACATTAACAAAGGGGGTCAATATTTTCTTGCATAGAAGGTAAAACTAAACAGACAACAAGTATTATCTTAAATGGCTGAAAATATTCCAAATTTGAGTAATTAAAAAAATGACAGGTGAAGGAAGCTAATTCATAATGCACAGAATTTTAGATGAAGAAGACATCTTCAAAACTAAACAATAAAACCCAATTACTAGTCTAGTGTTTAAATCCTCTTCACAACATCCTTAGCAAGCAGCTGACCAGACACTGCTTTAACATCTTCAGTGAGAGGGTTTCATTTTATCTTGAGGTATCTATTTCAGCATAGGAGTATAGTCAACATTTTATAACTTTGTATGGTGTGTAATTTATAAAAATATTCAATCACTATGTTGTACACCTGAAACTAATATAATATTATAAGCCAACTATACATCAAATTTTAAAAAAGCCAAAGTAATTAAAAACACCCACACACAAACACACACATATGCTGTATCAAATAGTCTCTAAACAAACTCTAAATAAAAAGAGAAAGCAGCTGTAATACCTTACACATGTAAATAGTAGAGAAAGGTACTGAACTTAAAAAATTAGAAGACTGAATCCTTTAGACCCAGAATAATTTGAAATTTAGAAATCACTGTATCATCCCAAAGCATGTTTTTGTAGTTCTTATTTCTTCTTTCCTTTTTTTTTTAAAGAAGAGGTCTAGTCAACAAGAAAATAGAAACTTCTCCCAATTTGTTTTTGTTTTACCCAAATTTAATCAAGTAACCAAATCTGGCAACAACTGGGATGATTCTTGGGTCCAGGCCAGGTCCTGACTGGTGATCTAGAATTTAAGGCCTGTTTTTGGACCCTGGGGATTCAGAGCCCTTCATCCAGTGTGGATTTTTGTGTGCGTGCGCCCATCTGATTTCTTTAAAAAGCAGAGACTGTTGCCAGCTCTGAAAAGTGGCCCCAAATGTGTTCTTTGTGGGTTTTGCAAAAGGAACATAAAGGAGTGAAGCTGAACCAGCCCAGGCCTATTTTACTAGCAAGGAATCGTCATCTGGTGTAAGATAGTTTCTCATTTTTTTCCCCCAGTCATGGAGAGGGAAGAGTTGTTTTTCACATGTTTGACAAGGAATCACTTTTAAAGTTTTGCAAGTCACTAGGCTGACTCTGTCATCTTTCTTCCAAGAGGCATTTGGGTTTCATTGAGAGCAGTGACTTTGACAGCACTGTCCATGCAAATTGCTAACTGCTGCTGTAAACAAAGAGCGATCAGACAGAAACAGTAACCCTGGATGGAAGCAAGAGGATTATGGTTGTTTCCAATCACCAAGCAAAACACATTCCCATTAGAACTAATAAAACAAGAGCTGTTTTTTGGCACGAAGAAGTAGGAGAAATTTTTTTTTTCTTCTTCACTGAACTGGAGAAAGGAATAAAAACAGAGAAAGCAATCACGGACATGTGGAAAGAGACAAGATGACTTCTTTCCCTCAACTCGAGCTCAAGGGCTCAGCTTTGGTGATATGCAAATAGTTACCATGATGTCTCCGTGAAGTCAAGTATTCTCCTTGGAGTAGCTTTTTATTTGGATACGTGGAATGAAACTTATTTAATATTTGGCAGAGATCTTCCTGGTGTTTCCAAATAATGGGGCATAAAATCAATTCAATGATCCTTATATAGAAAAAAGTAAGTAAAAGGTCAAAGGCAATTAATTTTCATAATTTATCATTAATAATTACATAAGAAGGGTAGTATACTTCAGAATTTGGCTCTCAGTTTTTTTTTATTGAATTATAGTCGGTTTAGAATGTTGTGTTAATTTCTGGGGTACAGGATAGTGATTCAGAAATTATTCCTTTCATATTCTTTTTCATTATAGGTTATTACAAGCTACTGAATATAGTTCCCTGTGCTATACAGAAGAAACTTGTTTATCTATTTTATATATATAGTAGTTAGTGCCTGAAAATCCCAAACTCCCAATTTATCCTTCCACCTGCCCCTTTCTCACCTGATAACCATAAATTTGTTTTCTATGTCTGTGAGTCTGTTTCTGTTTTGTAAGTAAGTTCATCTATCTCATTTTTTTAGATTCCACATGTAAGTGACATCATATGATATTTTCTTTCTTTTTCTGGCTTATTTCACTTAGTATGACAATCTCCAGATCCATCCATGTTGCTGCAGATGGCATTATTTCATTCTTTTTTATGGCTGAGTAGTATTCCATTGTGTGTGTGTGTGTGTGTGTGTGTGTGTGTGTGTGTGCGCGTATGCATACATGTGTGTATATAATATACATATATAATATACATATATGTATGTATATATGTGTATATATAATTGAATATATATACACACACATATACACACACATACACACACACCCCCCCCAACATCTTCTTTATCCAGTCATGGACATTTAGGTTGCTTCCATGTCTTGGCTACTGTAAACAGTGCTGCTATGAACACTGGGGTGAATGTATCTTTTCAAATTAGAGTTTCTTCCAGATATATGCCTAGAAGTGGGTTGCTGGATCATATGGTAAGTCCATTTTTAGCTTTTTGAGGACTCTCCATACTCTTTTCCCTAATGGCTGCACCAAACTACATTCCCCCCAACAGTGTAGTAGGGTTCCCTTTTCTCTGCCTCCTCTCTAGCACTTACTGTTCGCGGACTTTTGAATGATGGCCGTTGTGACTGGTGTGAGGTAATACCTCATTGTAGTTTTGATTTGCATTTCTCTGATAATTAGCAATATTGTTGGTTCTCTTAATTTATTCATATTCATGACAACTGCTTGGAAAGGTTAAGATTTCTATCTGGAGAAAAGTGAAAATGGCATTAAACATAGTACATTCTGATTTATTTATGAAACCACAAATAAAATAACAATATCTATTATAACAAAAACAATCTGTTTTAGCTCCAGAAAAACAAAAATATGGAATAATACAGTGGTCTGTTGACCATCCACAAACAAGTTAGCAGTGACTTAAGACTTCTGACCTCCTAATGTAACAAGTAAAGACGTATAGTCTTCGGTGACAGCAGTTTTGCCTATCTTGTTCCCTGCTGTAAAACAAGAATCTGGCACACTGTAAGTGCTCAGCAAATATTTGTTGACTGTATGAACAAAGGCTGCAGAAAGAATGGTTACAACCAGAAAGAATCCACTAGATTTAGCAACTTGTTGGTAATCCAGGCAAAACAGTTTCAGGGGGCTGGTTGGGATGGAAAGCTAAATTTTGGAGGGGTGAGTTGACATGTGACCAGGAGGTAGGATATGAAGACAGATGTACAAGAAGTATAGCAAGCAGAGTGGAAGACTTAGGCTACCAGATCTAAACACCAGTACTGCCACTTATTAGCTGGGTAACCCTGTGTGGTTTAACCTCAGTTTCATCATCTACAAAATGAGACTAACACTAGTATCCACCTGACAGTGCTTAGAACAGTACCTAGCACACAGTAAGCACCCTGCAAATGGTAGTTATTATTATGACAGATAACTTTTTAGAAAGACTCTGGTTTTAACATTTTATTCTGAGATAATAATAGATTCGAATATAGTTGTAAGAAATAATACTAAGAGATCAAGTATTACCCTTCACCCAGTTTCCCCCAATGGCAACATCTTGCATAACTATAATATAATTTATTTTACATTACACTTACAGGAAATCAAGTTTGATACAATCCATCCACCATATTTAGATTTCACCAATTTTACATGCATTCATTGTGTGGGTATATTACCTTCTATGTAATTTATCATGTGTGTAAGACATTTCCTTTTTAAGGAGGGATGGAAATGAAGATAACTAGTGGGGGTTAGAGAATAAAGTTTTTGTTTTGTTTTTTAAGGTGGGATAGATCTACTTTCTGTGAAATATCTTTCACTGTAAAAGGATGAGGGGAAATAAACATAGATGAGGAGCTAGTGGGATAGGAGTGGAGAACAGAAAGTTAGAGAACTTCAACTCTAATGGGCTCTGTTATCTCTGAAAACAGAAGACAGGGTGATTAGAAACAAAGAGGGTAAGAAATATACTCAGTGGAACTGCTGGGTTTGATAGGAAGAAACAAAAGAAATTCTGGAATAGAGTTATGTAAGGCTTGATGTTTTATAAATATTTCTGTGAATGAAAGAGGACAATCATTTGTACAACACGCCTGTGGGGAAACACTAGTATTCTTCATGGTAGACTAAAACGCCCTGCCTAAATAATGGGTCTTTTAAAAATCTGTAGAAAAATTAAATCAATTGGTTGCATCTTTAATTTCCTTTGGTCAGTATGGATTTTTCATAGGATCTAAAATGTACTAAACGTAAAGCAAAAATATTTGATAACTTAAACTATCATAAAATTAATAACTTCTCTTTATCAAATACCACCATTTAAAGAGGGAAAAGGCAAGTCACAGAGTGGGAGGAGATATTTGTAAGCCTATACAGAATATATATTTGCATGCAAAATATGCAAAGAATGCCTACAAGTTGATAAGAAAAAAGCAGATAACCCTATGAAAATTGGCCAAATGGACTAAATGCAAATTGAAGTCATAATGGGTGATACCATTATACACTCAGAATGATTAAAGTGAAAAGCCAAATACTATGGCAAGGATATTGAGTAAAACAGAACGCTTAAACAGTGCTGTGGGAATATAAATTGGTATACCAACTTTGAAAACTGACTATCCACTAACACTCATCATTCATGTAACATATGACCTAGATATTCCATTTCTAGGTATATACCTAAAGAAATGTTTATATATGTTCACAAAAATATATGTGCAAGAATATACTGTAACAGCCTGTACTGTAAGTAATCTGAATGTCCACCTACATAGAATGCATAAATTTGGCATATTCACTCAATGGAATATTACAGCAATGAGGAAGACTGAACAATTGCGTTCAACGACATGGATGAATCTCTTAAACATAATGCTGAATGAAAGAAACCAGACATAAAAGAGTATGTAC